GTTGGTGTCACCTGAAAATTGATAGTGTGGTTACATGTAGTCTGCATCCATTCTGGGCAGCAGTTGGTGTCACCTGACCATTGCTAGTGTGGTTACATGTAGTCTGCATCCATTCTGGACAGCAGCTGGTGTCACCTGACCATTGCTAGTGTGGTTACATGTAGTCTGCATCCATTCTGGACAGCAGCTGGTGTCACCTGACCAAAGCAGGTGCACAACACACAAGTAAACAATATGTGGGCCGGCATCCAATTTTAGATGATGAAGCCATCTGACAACAAAACTGGCATGGTGGATCACCGATAGGAAAAGACAGTTCCAAGCTCTTATTTGTAACACTGCGATGTTTTTCTAGTATATTTAAGAGACTCATCTTCTATACAGTGGACCTTCAGTAACTTTACAGGTCTTCATAAATCATTCCTGACATGTCCCAATAAACAGCAACAGTACTTTGTAAACTACATTTTATTCACTAAAGGAATTTATGACCCCCAGCCTAGTGACTTTGCCTAAAATAAGAAGAAAAAAAAAAATCAGCCTGCTGCAGACATTTCCTCAGTCTCCTTTCCCCCCAGTGATAAAAAAAAAAAAAAAAAAAAAAAAAAAAAAAAAAATCACAAGGTGCTGTTCTGCGTAAGAAATTTGTGAGCACAGCCAGGAACTGCACAGGTACCAGAGCTGTCTTCTCAGACCAAGAAACAGATGTGAGGCTGGATGATAGGACCCTGTCCTTCTGGAGAGAAAAGCAGATCAAGGCATTATCAGGGGGAGTACTCTGATCTCTATGAGAGATAACCGATACCTGAAAAGTGTAATAGGCAGTATACATTTTAAAAAAAAATTAAAAAAAAAAAAAAAAAAAAAAAAGGATGAAAACTAGAAAATTTTACTCATTCGTTAACAGAACGTACAATTTGAGCTCAATGTGTACAGCAATGGTATGGAAATAATCAAACAGAAAATACCACGCGTGAGCAGAAGAATGAAAGAAAATGGCAATGAGAATAATAATTGTACACAACATTGAAATTTTGTATTTTGGATCAGAACTACAAAAAAAACAGTGAACTGTAGCTTTTTATTTCTGTGACAATCACGCTACTCTAGTCTGTAGCTACATTTGCCTTTGTCATTGAAGAATTTTTGTACAAGTTAAAGATCACTCTCGGTTACATCACAATACACACTTTCGTGGAAAATTGGACAATCATTTGTTTGATTTTCTCATAGGGTGTTCCAGGCTTTACAATGACACAACACTTAGCTTGCATTTAAAATTAAAACATTTCTGACGCCAGGTCCACTTTAAGATTAAACTTTTCTTATGGGGGGGGTGGAGATTATAAAACCTTAGTCCCTGTGCAGTAAATCGTTGCATTTCATTCCAATCCTGATTGTGTATTAGCCATGACTGTAAAAATTTAACAAGAAAGTGTCATCTTCTGCCAAATTCCACTGGTGACCTTTACCAATCTGTTCACTGCCTTCGATAAATTCTAGGCACAAAAGTCCAGGGCAAATATTTCAAGGGGGAACAATCAAGGTCTAAACTTTCAAAAGATCCTCCCTGCAATGCCCTCGTATCTAATATCTACAGTAAAATGCCCAGGAAACTATAGTTTTGCCAAGAAAAATAAAAAACAAAAAATTTTGCAAGGGTTGGACTTGTGTTCCACTTGTGTTCTAAAGATGTGATTGATTTCCTTTTTTTTTTTTTTTTTTAATTATATAGATCTTATTAAATTTTTTCAATACAAAACAAAAAAAACAAACAAAAAAAGTATCTAATGCACACAAGAATAATAAGAACTTCACCGGTACATAAATTCCTATCGCATCATCTTATCCCCCACCACCCCAGTCTATATCCAAATTCCTAGTTTCTATCCTATTCTCATGATTATCTGTCTCTCTCTTCTATCACCTTCTCTGTCGGGTACTCCATTAGAACTCCCTCTAATACTCTTCCACCTATATTCCAGCCAGTTCAAAAAATATCTTTTTAGTGGTTTTGAGACTTAACCATCTACTCCAAGTTTTCCTACATTTTTCTATTCCATCTTCCTCAGTAAGACAACTCCTCCATCCTGTAAATATTTTCCAATCAGTTAACCCAGTCATTTATTCTTGGTGGATCTGGGGCTAGCCAGAATTTGGGAATCAAGCTCTTAGCTGCACTGATTAGATGATATAGTGCCCTGTTCTTATGTAGTTTCACTAAAGGTTCAAATTTATAAAAAGATGTGATTGATTTCAAGCTCACAATAAATACGGTATCCAGAGCACATTTCTGGACCCACAACACTAAATAACTCACGGAACATAAAAATCTAACTCCACTAAAACTAAGACACATTGCAGGGATGGTCTGTATTTGGATCCCATAACTGAACTCCTGGAAAACCGCTGTATACGCTGATGCAATGCATATAAAACAAACTTTTTACCTGCCATAAGAATTTATATATTTCTACCCAAGACTAACATTGGCACAGCACAACCGTGTCTGGCAGGACAGAAAAGTGAATGGGTAGTGCTGGACCCATGGATTGTCCCATTTCCATTGCTATCCAATAGTGTATGTGCAGGTTGGAGACTTCTACACACCTGAGGATTCCCAAAAATTTCCTTAGTTTGTAGCGTAAAATATTAGACCTGAGATCCAATGTAAGCTCAGGTGAAAGCCATGCTTTGGCAGCCCCATCATCAAGAAAAACAAATGAATATGGACTTAATTGAGGGTGAATGGTTTATACAAAACAGAGCATTGTATACACAAACACACCCCTGGAGTCTGGCATTGAAATACACCTAATAAAGAACAGCAGAATTACCATCAACACAAGCATGTGCTCAAAAAAGGATGGCTTTGTAATGAGCTGTAAGGATACAAAGTTGAATTCAGGTTCTTGAATCAAAGCCAAATAGCAGAAAGGTGTTTTGCGTAATTGGATGTAATTTCCACTGGGGGTTATAAAGTCTCTGTTGTCTCCTATTCTGCATCGCACAGACTGCAGGGACATAGCGGGGTACCAGGCACTCCCAACAGTCAGAACAGAACATTCCACCTGGACTATAAACCACACTGGTATGCCTGGAACAGGTTCTCTGCTCTCAAATTAATTCTGCTGATGGATATTTTACTTGACAGCCCTCCAAATTTTGCCTGCTAGACTAAGGGATCATTTCTGATGTGATTCAAGTTTAATGCAAAGATGTCCCTTATGAAGTGCAGTAAAGAGTTTCCATATAAGAGTAGGCTGTCCCTCCCCTGTCATATAAGTACTGCCTATATGTCTGATAGGACAGGCAGCAGCTGTGAAATCTACTTTTAAAGTGGAACTAAACTGTATCTGAGCACCACAAACAGAAAACGCAGATTCATTTTTGTTATTCAAAGCAAACTCACCCATCCATCCATTTCTCTCTGCTTTATTTTGTCGAGAAATTGCATTTCTAGCTGCCACCATTGTGAGTAAGGGCAGGTGATTCATTTACTTCCTGGAATCCACCTGCTCTTAACTCAGGCAGGCAGGAGCATGTGCTTAAAGCAGAACTTCACTCTTTCAGTCAACATTGACTATTTGTAATCCTTATGCAGCTAGCATTGGTAAATAGATAGGGAAGTACTGTATATTGTATTTGTTTTAAACTTTTTTTTTTTTTTTATTTCTTCAGTTATTTCCTGGTTTCCATGTCTAGGCACATGATTTCATACATCCCAGAAGTCTTCAGGAGGGGTTTTCTCAGATAAGGATAACCTCCTGCCTGAGTTAAGGGCAGATGTATTCCAGGAAGTAAATGCTACATGAATCATCTGCCCTTGCTCAAGATGGCAATGGCCAGAAATGCTAGGGGAGTGTTTTTCAACATGATTTCTTAGCAAAATAAAGAATGGAGACATGGATGGATAGGGGAGTTTGCTTTGAATATTAAAAATTAATGAAACAGCATTTTTGGTTTCCGGTGCTCAGAGGAAGTGTAGTTCTGCTTTAAAGTGATCTTAAAGGCTTTTTTTTTTTTTTTTTTTTTTTAAATAACACATCATACTTACCTGCTCTCTGCAGTAGTTTTGCACAAAGCAGCCCAGATCTTCCTCTTTAGGGTCCCCCATGGCACTCCTGGCCCCTCCCTCCTGTCAGCTTCCCCCACAGCAAGCAGTTTGCTATGAGGGCACCTTCTGCTCCGTGTGTCCATTCACACATGGAGCCGCAACTTGGCCCTCCCCCTCTCTCTTCATATTGGCTCACTGGCTTTGATTGACAGCAGCAAAAGCCAAATGGCTCCAATGAGGAGAGGGAGTCCCGGGATTGCAAAGACTCCAGTGCAAAATCGCTGGATAGAGACAAGCCCTAGGTGAGTATTTGGGGGGGGGGGGGGGGGGGGAAGAGAGAGCTGCTGCACAGAGAAGGTTTTTACACCTTCGTGCATAGAATGCATGATGGTAAAAAGCCTTGAGCCTTTACAACCGCTTTAACTGAGAAAGCCCCACAAAGGCCAGAAACCAGGAAGCAACTAAAATGTGTATAAAAAAAGAAAAAAAAGGTTTAAAAATAGTAAATATAATATACCTTTCTATTTACTAAGGTTAGTGGCATAAGGATTAAAAATAGATATTAACTGAGAAAGTTCACAGCCACATTTAAAAAGATCTTTATGTCTGGAGTCACAGATGTAGGGAATCAGAAAATGATTTAAATGAGTTTTTTTCCCCCCCAAATTACCCTGGTCAAACAGGTACAAAATACTTTGCAAGGGTATCATATAATGAATAGTCTCGATACATGGAGCCCCATGAAGACTTTAAGCCTTGCTGCATACCCTTACACTTTTAGCATTTTACTGAAATCAACAAAGATCACTTTTTTGGAAGAAAAAAAAAAAAAAAAAGTAATCTTCCAAGTCTCAGTTGTAAGAAATAGATCTGAAAAGATATGTAAAAATCATTATAGATCGATCCGTAGTGTAAAATTTCCTGTCATGTGTAGGCTCCTCACCTTGAATACTGAGCATCTGACCCAGCTTCAGGGCAGCTCCACGGACCTTACACAGGGTCCTGACGATTCTTTCCGCGTTGGCTTCTGATAAGAAAGGGCTGGAATCCATTACACCCTTTTTACCTGAAAAGAACAAGATAACCTGTGACACTTGCCACAAGATTTCACAGCACAATCAAAAGTGATATTAAAGATTCCATTTTTTATTAAAATATCAAACATTTCATACTCACCTGCTCTCTACAATGGTTTTGCAAAGAGCAGCTCCATGCTGCTTCCTATGCTGGCACATGCGGCCTCGCTCCTGAGCCTTGCTGTCTATGGACAGACAGTAGGGGCTCAGTCCTGCCCCCCACTCTCTCATCATAAGATTTGATTGACAGGAGAGGGAGCCAATGGCTCCTGCTGCTATCAATGTGCTCAGTGAGGAGGGACAGATCCGGCTCTCGTGCGCATTGCTGGATCAGGCTCAGGTAAGTAAGGGGGGGGGGGGGGCTAGGGAATTCTCTGCAAGACTGCAACAGAAGGCTCTTTACCTTAACCTCCCTAGCAGTCTGATGTCCGTATTTCTCTGCTCAAAAAGTGGTACATTTTTTGCATGGAAATTTTTTTTTTTTTATCGTAGGCCTGTAATTCTTAGGAATAACTCACTGAAATCTGTCTGAACAAGAGTCTAGTAAACATCCCAGGTATGATAAAATTTGAAACACAAAATCATAAATTATATATATAAATAATAAAAATAATATAATAAAATTTAATTCAATAATATAGTCAAACCAAAAAAACACTGAAATTTGAAATATAGCGCCAAGTTCGCACATCACTGAGCAAAGTCGAAAAATCGTTTTCAGTGTCCGATGATGAATTTTCCCACGAATCATTATCACTCAATTCGGCAAGTGGTTCTGATTTACTATCGCTGTTCTAAAACTGCTTTTGACATAAAGGGACACTTTTTGGACGCCATGGACATTTCTGTTTCCAGGCAGAAAGAACAGTAAAAATGCAGGCAGGGCACAGGACAAAGTACTAGGGACAAAATGTATGTGAAATGGTTTGATACAGGAATGTTTTACTATGTGATTTTAGTGTATTGAGTGAATGTCACATTTTAAAAATTTTTGAATTTCCCGCTGGTTCCGTACCCCGTACATCCCGACACTCACAGGGGACGCAACCCGGAAGACAGATGCCGGCATCGGCTGGAGGAAATGGCCGAGGACGCTGCAGGAGGGATATCGCGGGAGCGCAAGACAAGGCAAGTGCTGGAGGGCAGTGAGCAACGCTGCAGTGTAGTCCTGAGTGTAGCTCGGGGTTACCGCTTCTAGTACTGAAAGTTAACCCCGATCTACACTCGGGAATACCGCCAGAGGGGGTTAATACATAAAGAGTGTGCGAGTGTGTGTGAGGAGACTTCGCAGAAGCCTGATCATTGGAGAATAGGATGAGTTCCCAGCATAGCTAGAGAACTCACCACAGTGTGTTCTCCTGCCTAGTGTGGTCAGTTTTAAATATCTAAGCAGAGGGACTGGCAACAACACCAGGGATTTTACACACAGGAAGCACTACAAAGAGAAAAGAATACGTTTAAAAAACATAAGTACAAGTACATGGTACAGCAGGAACATATCAGAAATAATGAATATGTAAACCCAAGATTTCTTAAGGCTTTTGGACCATTTTAAATGAATTAGAAATAACAGACAACACATTTAGGTTGATAAACTCAGGAACCCCTGTGTGTCTGATGTAAATAATTTTTTATGGTATAAAACAATTCCTGGCATTGGAAATTAATGTATTTTCTAATAATATCTACAAAGTGACATTTTCCGCTCAAAAGCAGAAGTGTCCAACACAGGAACTAATATTCAGAATTTCCATGTGCTTCTGACAGCAACAGGGATGAAAGGAAGCATAGTATTTTATGTTATATAGCTGTCATATGTACAAAGATTGTTTAGTGGATTTAAAGTTGAAGTCCAGCCTTTCCTTCAGTCTTGCACAGTTGTATAGGTTCCTCTTCTGAATGACAAACTGCTTGCTGCGATTTCACTGCACACTGTGAGCCTCAGCAAGTCAGATAGATCCAACCTTATTTTCATGCTTGCCATCAGGGCTTAGGACTCCTGAGAGAAGTACTGAGGAAGGCTGATCTGATGTTGTCAGGAAGCTCTGTACAAACACCCTGCTGTTCCCTGCCCACCATGAAAAGCACAAAGACATAGTGATTACATCACCGAATCTAAAATTAGGTATGGAGGAACCAAGGATGACAATATCTAAACAACCTTTTTATAGCTTCTACTAGAAGAGCTGCTTAGATCTCTATAGCCCTTTTAAGTTTGTCTGTAGCTGGGAGGGCAAATCGCTCATAGGCAAGTAATTTAGCTATTGGACAAGACACTAACACGAATGTTAGTTGCTAGTTTCATTGTACATCAAATGGGAATAATGCTGCTGTGTTCCTTCCAGGTGAACAGTGTGCATGTGAAGTAGGTCATACAACTGGTTTCTGGTGGCTCGACTTGTGAGGAGTCCCTGGAATGGGTTCCTTCAGACACTGGTGAACTATGGTAGTAGGGGAGGTGTACTATGAGTGAACCAGCCTTGGGAATGCCAGCCGGTTCACGAATTAATGTATTCCAGTTTATAAAAATAAACCAATGCATTTTATGTGATTAGACCTGCCCCCCCAGAAAAAAATCCTGCTAGATCTCTTCATGGTGGCCCCTTCTGCAAGTTTAGCTATGTAAAACATTAAAAAAATAAATGCTTTTACTGTTTAAAATCCAGTAATACACGGTTTCACCCTGCTCTGCACATGCTTAGTTGCTGGGTTTTTTTTTTTTTTTTTTCCGTTTTTACACCACCACTGACAAAAATGTAGAGGCTGATCTGCTGACAGCCTAAAGATTTACTGCTGCTCAGGGGCTCTGGGCTTTAGCAAAAATGGCAGCCTCCAGCAAGAGCAAACAGGAACAATGCTGGAGGTGATTTCCAGTACGCATTATTTTGGTAGCATAATTGTGGAATTGCACTCACCAGCCACTTTATTAGGTACACCCGTTCAAATTGCTTGGTAACACAAATTACTATTCAGATAATCACATGGCAGCAACTCCATGCATTTAGGCATCTAGACGTGGTGAAGACGACTTGCTGAAGCTCAAACAGAGCATCAGAATGAGGACGAAAGAGGATTTAAGTGGCATGGTTGTTTGTGCCGATGGGCTGGTCTGAGCATTTCAAAAACAAATAATCTACTGGGATTTTCACACACACAACAATCTCTAGGGTCTACAGGGAATGGTCCGAAAAAGAGAAAAATATCCAGTAAAAGGGCAGTTGTGTGGACGAAAATTCCTTGTGGATGTCAGAGGAGAATTGGCAGACTGGTTCGAGATGATAGAAAGGCAACAGTAATTCAAATAACCACTCTTTACAACCAAGGTATGCGGAATACTATCTCTGAACGCACAACACATTGAACCTTGAAGCAGATGGGCTACAGCAGCAGAAGACCACATCGAGTGCCGCTCCTGTCAGCTAAGAACAGGAAACGGGGGCTACAATTCGCACACGCTTACCAAAGTTGGACAATAGAATATTGGAAAATATGTTGCCTGGTCTGATGGGTCTCAATTTTAGCTGCAACCTTCAGATGGTAGGGTCAGAATTTGGCGTAAACAATATGAAAGCATGGATTCATCCTGCCTTGTTTTAACGGTTCAGGCTGGTGGTGGTGTAATGGTGGAAGAGATTTTCTTGGCACACTTTGGGCGCCTTAGTACCAATTTGGCATTATATAAATGCCAGGGCCTACCCGAATATTGTTTCTTACCATGTCCATCCCTTTACGACTGATGTACCCATCTTCTCATGGCTACTTCCAGCAGGATAATGCACCATGTCACAAAGCTCAAATCATCTCAAACTGAACATGACAATGAGGTCACTGTACTCCAATGGCCTCCACAGTCACCAGATCTCAATCCAATAGAGCACAGCTGGGATGCGGTGGAACGGGAGATTCGCATCATGGATGTGCAACGGACAAATCTGCAGCAACTGCATGAGGCCATCATCTCAAAATGAATCAAAATCCGAGGAATGTTTCCAAAACCTTGTGGAATCTATTCCATGAAAATGAAGGCATTTCTGAGGGCAAAAGGGGGTCCAACCCGGGTACTAGCAAGGTGTACCTAATAAAGTGGCTAGTGAATGTATGTTCCATGCTAAAGAACATTATTTTTTATCAAGTTGTTATGGGGAAAGTTCTGCTTTAACAAAGTACACAGCTGTGATTGGATGTGCTGTAAAAGTAACTCATTCCAAAAACTACCCTAACCCTTAAACAAAAAAAAAAAAAAAAAAAAAAAAAAAAAACCACACACACACCCCACAAAATTATTCCCACGCTACCTATTCTGACCTAAAGCCTAATAAAAGACCAGCACTGTGGGTATTTCCCATCATTAGAGAGCCTTTTGTTTTCTAATTTTTCTTGCAGCAAGATATGAGGGATAGTTAAACAGTTATAGAAGCACCACTAGGCAAACATCGAAACCTATGTATGCAATTACACATGGCAGCCCTACATCCCCAACTGAAATTATACATAGTAAGAATAATAAAAAAAAAAAAAAAAAAAAAAAAAAAATACTCCAAGATGATCCATTTCTTCTGCAGATTTAAAAAAATAAATAAAAAAATTATATATATCTATCCATCTCTCTACATCTACAGTTTCCCTTTCAAACATGCAACTTGGAATGCAGCTTTTAGTGCAACTACCAGTCGTGTTCTATAAACATTATTAATGGTGATTTAACACTTATGCCAAACGCTCCCCAGTCTAATATATCATAACAAGGTTACACAGTGATAACGAGAACGAAAACAAGCTTATCAGAGGCTGTAAAAAACCAGAAAGGTTTCTGGCAGCGCCTGATACTAGAGTACATGTACAATATGAAGCACACTGGATTTCTGGAAGATCAGGTATTTTTTCTATACTTGCAGCAATTTAAAAAAACAAAAAAAAGGGAATGTTCTTATATGGCATATAGTTTTATATTTTGCCCACATATCTACTTGAAAAAGTGTTACTAAACCAT